TTTCCTCATAAAGAACCATCTAAAGAGTCCACTTACTGTCCAGCTGGCCCATCTCCCGAGAGAGCGCTGCCGGTCTAGGGGTGGTTCCCACCATTTCTTTGGAGATGGGGAGTATGTGGGACCTTCCAGGGTCACATGGGGTCTCTATTCAGCTCAATGACAGTCACAGGAAATGTTTGCTTTTGGCTCAGTGCCAAGGGGCTCGATTTACTCCAAGGTCCAGCTGGGTGCCACCCAGGAGTTAGGGAATGGTAAGGGGGCCCCCGGAGTAGTCATCTGGCTCCTCCCTGGCTGCGAGAGAGAGAGACTTGTGACCTGCTTCCTACAAGAACCACAGGGCGGGGAGGCGGGGGTGCGATTCATACTGCTGGTCCCCTCCCCCACTTCCAGCAGCCCATCCTGGGGTACCTCCCTGTGCCTCAGCTTCCCTGTTGACAAAGGTAAACGATAGTGTGCCTCCACACTGGGCTGTTTGTGAGGATGAAATGAATCAGCAACACCTGGCACCCGGCAAGCTCTGTAAAAGATGGATAGATAAATATGAACATGTGTTAGCCACTCTCGTTATCTACTCTCCAAAGAGATTGGCTCTGAGAGCCTGTGTGAACCATGACAGGGACTTTTTGTGAGAAGATAAGGGGAGGATCGTGTCACACCCCAACCAGCAACCGCGGTCAGCTCCTCCCTTAGGCATCTGCGCCCCTCTGCATGACCCTCCTCCCACACGGGTCTCTAACCAAGTCTGTCCAGTCTTCTGTTCCCCCCTCCACCCAAGGCTGCTCCTTCACCCACCACTCTCGGGTCCCTCAGCTCAAGCCCCCCAGGGGGCCTCCGATGGTCCCTTATGACATGAACCCAGGTTTAATTTCTGCTCCTGCATTTCATGCCCCCACCCCCATAATCTGACCCAGCGACCCGGTTGCTCAGCTATGAGAGGCCACAGGAAACAGAAATTTCCTTTCCCAGAAAGAGGCAGGAGACTCGGGCACGAATCCTGCTCTGGATAAGACCTTACTTTTCTATGCTCGTTTCAGTTTGTGACATAAGTCGGGGTAGGTACTTAGATCCCTCCAGGTCCCGACGGGAGGTGAGAGGGTGAACTTAGACAAGTTCGTGTCTTTTACGTCTCAGAAGTTTTCTTGAATTATTTCTTTGATGATTTTCTTCTCTCCGATTTTTCTGTTCTCTTTCTGAAACCCCACTTGTTCAGAGGTTAGAGCCCCTGAATTTGTTCTCTAATGTCCTTAACCTTTTAATTTCCTTTTCATCTCGGACTCCTCCCTCTGCTTCCTGTGAAATTCGTCGGTCTCTCCAGCTGGACTTTATTTTGCGCTGCTACATGTGTAATTTCCAAGAGCTCATTCTGGTTCACTATTTGCTTCATTGTATAGAACCCAGTGCTTGTTTAACAGATACAGTATCTTTTCCTATCACTCTGAGGATTCTGATTATAGCTAAAAAAAATTTCTTTTTATCTCCTGCATAATCTCTTCCCTCCAAATGGCCCTGTTCATGATTGTTTTCTTGGTGTTCATTTTTCATATTATATACTTTTCTCAAAAGTCTGGTAATCCTTAGCCACATGCTCATATTTAAGAGAGAGGCACCAAAAAGTGGCTTAGACACTCTCAGCCCACACATGGGGCTTGTCGGTTGTGGGAGTCACTGTAAGGTAGACCAGTTGGCCTGTTTTATTGGACGACCTGTTGATCTCAATACTTTTGGGTCTTTTCTCTTGGGCTACTCAAATTACCAGAGACAGGTGTTACAATGTCCTGCATAGGGGGCCTCAGGGTTGCAGAGTGCTCCTGCCCAGAGACAGCAGGGACCCAGATCAGATGGAGGCTGGGGGCTGGGGACAATCAGGAACTAAGCTCTACAGACCCACTCACTGGCTGTGTGCACGTGAATGGTGGGGCCTGCAGCACGGCGTCCTGAGTAGCTAGGAGGGTGCCTGGCAGTGCCGCCTCTCACCAAGGCCACGGTGGTCCTTGGAGGACCAGCTGAGGGTGAGGTGGGAGATGAGGGAGGAAGCTGCCTGCATGTGTGGGGTCCAGGGAACCGTTTGATGGCAGGGTGTCCTGGACGTCCCACAGGAACATCCAGAGCTGGACTCGGGCCCAGCAGTGATGGCCTAAATTGAGGCCAAGCCCTGGGTACCGGAGCAAACACGTGGCCTTCCCTGAGCACAGCTACGGGCCTCTGCGCCTGCTGCAGGCATACGCCTGTGGAGTGTGGTTCAGACAAAGGCACAGCTAACAAGGAATTTTTTTCGGAGCATGCAAGAGAGGAACTGGGGGCTCAGGAGACGGAGGTCATGTCTGGTGCAGGCGGTGCGGTCGGGGCCAGGTCAGGAAAAGGGCCGCCCCAGGGTGCAGGGCCCCTCAGAGCAAGGCCGGTGCTACTCAGCTGGGGCTGGGCGGCACCCTCAAACCCCACAGCCTCAGGGGCGACGGTCAGGTCCCAGAGAGGGACCAGCACGGAGAGAGGGAGACCAGGCAGAGGGAGGCCATTTGCAAAACAAGCCCGTGTGGCTGGAGAGACCCCTGGTGTCTGCTCCCTGGCTGTCCCTGTCTCTGTCCATCATCTGTGCCAGGGCCACGGCCTATGTTCCCGCCACTGCACTCTTGTGAGACAAACGGCCTGTGCAAGCAGAATGATAAGAACTGCGAATAGAGGAAGATGGACCGGGAAGGGCGGGGAAAGGAGAAAGCATGCTGGCCTCTGTCAAGCGGTCACATGACCCAGTGCAAATGAAGGCATCGGAGTCATGTGGCCAAGAGAGCAGAGCAGTTTTCAGGGGCGGGGAGAAGGGCAGCCATCCCCCCTCCCTGGCGCAGGGGCACTGCGGGGGGCCAGGTTGGGTCCTCGTGTCTGACTCTGGGAGATCACGGTCACCCCGAGTCCCAGCGGCAGGCCCAGACCTCGATGCTGGGGAGCCTGCGTCCCTGTCCTGCCCCACTGCCACTGCACGCCATGCGTCCTGGGGGGCTGTCCACCCACCTAGTGACCTGCTTTCCATGGCACTGGGCCCACCGGGCTCACTGTGGAGGCTGGGAGCAGGGCGTGGGCAGGGGAGGGCTGGGAACATACAAACCGAGCAGTGAACAAGATGGCTGGAGAGGGTGGCCACGCAGGCGTGAGGGGCGGCGGGGCCTGGAGGGAGTTGGTGCGCCCTGGCCGACGGCCGTCAGCAGACCCCGGGCTCCGGCGTGTGACTCCGAGGCCCTCATAGGCGGTGCTGCCAGGTCACGTTTGACCGCCAGGTTTTCAGGCAGAGCATCTAGAGGGGCAAGGACGTGGTGGGCAGGGCGGGTGGTGGCCAGCTCAGTCTGCGGCCTGTATTGGACTTGGGGGCACTCAAGCTGCATCCCAGGTCCTGGCTTCTAAGGCCTTCGGGTCGGGGGAGGAGCTTGGCCGGCTCTGGCCCCACCCCCCAGTGTCACCCAGGCCCACAGGTGACTCCTCTCCCCTCCCCCCGGGACACCCTGCTCTCCGTCGTTGTTGCCCCGTCTCTATTTACATCTATTTACCTACATGCCCAGCAGCTCTCCGAGGTGATCCAAAAACGCTGCATTTTCCAGGTGAATTTGTTGTTCTAGGGTGACCTAAAACACACCCCTTCTCCTTCCCCTCCCCCTCCTCTGCTTTCCCAGTTCTTCGGAAATGCCACCTGGCCCTGGCTGGCTTTGCTCTCAAGAACAAAGGCACAAGCAGCATCTTTCTCAAAACACTCGGCCCGGCCCCGCCCGGCCCCGCCCTCGGACTGTGTGTCACCATTTTCCTTCCCAGTCGATGGATCCGAAACATGTTTTGTTAGAACAATGACTAACATCTTTGCTCTAAGACGCACTCGTGCAAATTGATTCCCAAACGACGCACCAAGGCACCAGGATAAATGGGCCAGGAACACAAACTGAAGTCACACACTGTCTCTCACACACACACACACACACTCACAGTCACACGCATTCTGGGGTGTGGGTAATGAGTCCACCTGTGGCTCCGGCCGGCACCTGCTGTGTGGTTGCGTGAATTGGGTGTGCGCCGTAAAGCAATGAGCAGGGTCCTCTTTAAAATGTCTTTAGAGGTTGGGACCCAAAGCCGTGTACAGAAAGCTCAGAAATGCGTCTTAGCAAGGCTGGGGCGGGGCGGGGTGGCGGTGAGGCCCCCACCCCGTGAGGGAGCTCGGTGATGGGGAAGGAGAGGGACCTTCCCCAGCACCCGGCTCACCCCCTCTGAAGAATGGGACCTGCTGGGAGGAAATTCCCGGGAGACCGAGGCCAGGGCCCTGGCCTTGAGCAGGGCTAACCCAGACACTGGTATGGGCTGAACTGGGTCCCCCTAAAATGCACATGTGGAAGCCCTAACTCCCCAGGTGACTGTATTGGAGGCAGGGCCAGTAGGAGTAATGACAGCTCACTGCGGCCATCGGGATGAGGCCTAGGTCCTGGAGGACTGATGTCCTTCAAAGGAGAGACCCTCCCACCCCTCATCTTATCCCCCCACC